GGCGGTTGAGCATGGATTATTGTAATTGCAAAGGGAAGGCCGATTCTTATTATTTATTTAAATAATTATAGTAAATTATTAAGGAAAGCAAAATATATATCAATCACAAAAGATATAAAAGCACATGCCCCTCAAACGGTGGGCTGGTCATAGATATAATTTCCGTCGCAATTGATCTACCAAAGAAAAGTACTTAATATGGTAATATGAGGTTAGTTTTATTTTAAAAAGGAAAAGTAGGCTTTTACCAACCAATGGAAAAGGTTTGCCGAGGGAAATTTGATCAGGTGATAATCAAGTGATGATGACAGAAATTTACTTTACGTTAAATCTATGGACGTTCATTTACTTTTTTCACGTAAAAGTAGTATAATTAACCGAATACGTATGCCTCGGATTTGCATACTGTATCTCGGATTTGTCTATCTCGGACCGGGCGATCTCAAATAGTGAGTGTCGTACATTCGCAATAACTGCTCAAAAGTCAGATGACATATCTGGACCGACGATCAACTGCGCTTACTGCGCCCTTGTGACTTCCCATCTCTCAGGCGATCATCCCTCTTTTTTTTCTCGTAGGTCAATAAGCGAAGCCATCAGCGCCCCTCGAACTCAAAACAGACGTATCACTCTTTTATCACCTTGATTTAGTATTCAATCGATTGAAGGTATATATATTTTGTATGTAATCACATCTTTACTTCAGCCATACCGAACTTATTGAAAAAGGTAAAAAAACAAATTATCAAGTTCACCAAAAGAAGGAGCAGAGGTCCGGTTTTTTTTGCTGTTGTCAAACATAGTATTTTCAGAGTTATATTGTACTCAAGCATTTTACTCACCACAGGCGCTCCAATCACTGACCTCACTGAAAAATACACGGTTCAAAGTTCCAGCATCGTTCAAGAAGACACCGCTAAAAGCACTTCGAGCAGGTCTATAATAACTACTCGCGAACCTGACAAAAAATCATCAACAAATATTCCCGAACAGCCCGAGACTAACGCCATGGCTCAAAACACTCAGGACACCACGGCTGAAGACACTACAGCTCAAAACATTACAAGCACATTTGACGCCCTTCATCTTGATCCTCCAATCACTCCACCCGAAACTGTGGAATCCCTTCGTGCATATGAAAAGAGCCAGGCGAAGCACAGAAGTTTTTAGGTACGACCAAAATTTGCTTCACACACGCTTATATATTTTGTTTCCTTAACCCGATGCCTTTGCAGATCGCATGGAACATGGCTTCACGTGGCCCACTTTGATGCCCGATATCATTAGAAGACAGGTTTTCTGGGGTTTCACTGATGATGTTGACGCTCCTGAAGGTGACCCAGATCGAGAAATCGCGGCAAATCTTCTTTACTTTTTTAACAGTCTCGACAAGGGCATCTTTGATTAACATCAGAAAGACTGGGTACTGGTGTACGGACAGAAGATAGTGAAGTATGGGTCAGATGAGTACACAAATAAGCAATTATCAGACCTCGAAGATGAAATGCCCGGTGTTATTTATATCCCAGTTGATCCATTACTTCGTGAAAAATATCTTCATCCAGTTCCCGCGCGGCGAGGGCGGTGAAATCTCAGCGTTCCGATTATGGAGAACACCTGGTCTGGATTGATTGGTCATTCCTAAAATATAAATAAAATTAACTGACATATAATAATATTATTAATAAAGCTCAAGGTTGTATTGATATGATGGAATGGACGAAGTCGATGATGTATTAAAAACATCTTCATAATCTAGAGAGAATAAATCCAGGGACATGAATTTAAATTTGGTTTGTATCAAGGAAAAGTATAAAATTCCTATCGTTCAGCTAAATTAAAATTGCTTACGAACACGCACAACCCCCTCCACAAACTTTTCAATTCATAAATTTCGCAAACAATACTACAAATGATATTCGACTGTCTCATCGCCTTCACAAAAATTTGACCAATTGTTCAGTAATGACTATAACTAATTTCCTTACCTTCTTTGCGTATATTGTAAAAAACTATTGTATCTGGAAAAGCTTTTTGGATTACGCAAAAAAATTTTACCAATTTATTCGTAATTGAGAGCCTACCAGTCAATTTTATTTGATAGCAATAGTATTGCGGAGTCAATAATCCAAACTTAATTTTTCCCTCCTTTCATCGTCGTTTAAAGCTTCTTCTCTCTTCTGATTCTTTTTGTTGATTATTAATAATATTTTTTATTTTACATTACCATTTATTAACTTTTTTAAATTTTATGCTTTCCCCATTAATTGACAAAGTTAATCAGTAAATTTTTTTCAACACCCACCTGTAAAATGCTTGAACGACAATAATTATTCCACTACTGCAGTCCATTCTCCTCTACCCAAACACTCACCCACGCTCCATTCACACATTGGAAGCATTAAATATGGTTTATTACGTAACATGATAAAATATAGTAAATGGAATCGATAAGCGAATTGCGCATAATATAATTCCAATCATCTCTTTGATACGTTCATTAACTTAATGTACTACCATTAACATCCGGACAAGCTTTAGATACATACTGTAACTGCTTATAATTAAACATTAGAAAAAAAAACTACCGTTACACTTATATAATCGCGCAAAATACGTCAATCTTAAAATTTTCAGACGACGGAATACCAAACACAACGAAGCGTATTGCTAGTTTTGTGTAACAGTTCAACAAAAACTATTTAAAATAAAGTCACAACGATCAAACTTTTCAATCACCCCACACTGTTATATTTCTTGTAGCGTACTGCAAGTAAAAATGTATTATACTATAAAAGCACCTCTTACATTACAAGTGAACGGACATAATATAAATATATTAAAGATTCGTTAGTGCCAAGATAAATAAAATGTGTAATGTAACACAAGTGTTGAGAACTAACATTGTGTTCATTCGAAAAGAATTTTTCAATTCAAACTGTTACCATGTCGTTAACATCAGCATCAGAGACTCTTAATAACCCAGACATTGCCAACTTGGTTGAATCTTCCTTGGAAAGTCAACAAAAATGTTTAAGACTTAAATGGATCCCTTGTTCTGAAGTCACTGATATTAAGCCAACTCAAATTGACAACGTTTACTGCGCTATTCGCAAACGTAATGATGAAAAACCGATAACGCTAGTATTACTTGGAAGTAGCGAAGAATGCACAGCAACACTTGTGAGTGAGTTTGCTAGAATATACTCA